AACCAAAATCCCCTCTCGATTCCTCCAATGAACGAGAGGTCCACTTTCAAATCGAGTGATCAAACCTTCGACATAAAACCCGCCATTGGTCAAACCTTCTTACAGTTAGGACCACAACCAAAATCCCCTCTCGATTCCTCCAATGAACGAGAGGTCCACTTTCAAATCGAGTGATCAAACCTTCCTACAGTTAGGGTCATCTCAAACTCCTGCTTGGTCAAACCTTCCTACAGTTAGGATCAAAATCACAATTCACTCTCGACAAATGAGAAATTCATCTTTAGTTCGGTAATCAAACCTTCCGATAGTTAGGGTTATCCGAATCTTTTCGATACTCGGAGTGGAGATCTCACTCTTAGTTTCACCTTTTCGGATTCTAGGGGTGGAGATCCCACCTCGAGTCTCCTTTCCAACTGGAGATAGAATATAAAATTCTTCCTCTTCAGCTTTGGGAGATAGGATATAAAATTCTTCCTCTCCCGTATCGGGTTCGTCTTTGCCCCAAGAGAAGACACCACTTTTCAAACTTTTAAATTCTGTGCGTCATGCGCACGAGGAATTTTATCCCGAATCCTAAGCAGGGATAAGTCTGCGCCTAGCACGCGCTGCCGGTTTAGTCTTTCTCCGTAGAAAAAGACACCGGAGTTCAATTCTGGGGTATCCTATCCTAAAACCTAAGCAGGGATAAGTCTGCGCCTAACCCGCGCTGCCGGTTAGTTCTTAACCGTTAAAAAGAACACATGCCCACATATTCAACATTGTGGCAGGTTGTTATTAATAACACCAAAATCCATGCCTTACACGCATGGGGAATGTTATCCTGAATCCTAAGAAAGGATATGCCGACGCCTAACACACGTCGCCGGTTTAGTCTTTCTCTGTGGAAAAAGACACCAGATTTCGATTCTGGTGTATTCTATCCTGAAACCTAAGTAAGGATAAGTCTGCGCCTAACCCGCGTAGCTGGTTAGTTCTTAACCGTTAAAAAGAACACCCGCCCACATATTCAACATTGTGGCAGGTGATTATTAATAACACCAAAATCCATGCCTTACACGCACGGGGAATTTCATCCTGAATCCTAAGAAAGGATATGCCGACGCCTAACACGCGTCGCCGGTTTAGTCTTTTTCCGTAAAAGAAGACACCAGAGTTCGATTCTGGGGTATTTTATCCCAAAGCCTAAGTAGGGATAAGTCAGCATCTAACACACGTTACCGGGTAGCCTATTCCCGTAACAATGGCGAAGTCTACGTATTTGAAGTCGTAGCGCTAAGTCTAAGAGAATTCACTCTCTTAGCACAACGTTACATGCGGAACGGATTTAGACAATCCGCATGCTAGCCCGACTCAAACGGTAGTCGGTAAAGGCTCATCAAACCCGTTGATGGCTGGGGGTTAGCCAAAAATCCTAAAGTCAACGCCTAACACGCGTCGCCGGGTAGTCTATTCCCGTGAGAAAGACGAAGTCTACGTATTCAATATCGTAGCACTAAGAGCGTTAACTCTCTTAGCACAACGTCACATGCGGAACAGATTTACCGCCGTTCTCCAATACCTTAAGAGCTTAAACTGTGTATACTCCAGTAAACGTACGAGTATAAACTGTGTCAACGTACGACGTTCGAAACCCTAGGGTCAACGCCGGTCAACGTGTAACCCTAGGTCAACGCCAGTCAACGCGTTGCGACCAAAAAGTCAACGTTCGACGTTCGAAACCCTAGGGTCAACGCCGGTCAACGCATAACCCTAGGTCAACGCCAATTAACGCGTTACGACCAAAAAGTCAACATTCAACGTTAGAAACCCTAGGGTCAACGCCGGTCAACACGTAACCCCAGGTCAACGCCAGTCAACGCGTTGCGACCAAAAGTCAACATACGGTGATCTGAAACACTAAGTCAGCATAATATGACAGAGATAGTCAGTTCAAAGTCAACTCAATAACACGAGCAAAACTCAACTCACTGGTGGTAGAAAATTGGTAAGCATTCATAAATTTTATACTTTGTTCTTCAAATACTAAAGAAATTAAATATTAATATTATAATCTAAGGAAAATTAGCAATAAAAATATAGGTATTTAGTTTAGATCTTTGTGGAAAATGATAGGGATAGAGCAAATGTAATATTATTGACGTAACTGTAGGCATTGAAAATTGCCTATAGGTCTCCACGAACAGCTCAGTGTTAAGGAACGACAATGAACGTCACTATTTGGTTCACAGGAGTTCGACTGGTGTCGGTGAACGCTTGAAGTGAACCGACGAACTACGTAAGCTGACAGAATTTCGGAATAACGAAAGCACAGGCTAATCGAGAATCCCGTGATGTTTACAAAAGGAACAACGCCCTTCGTCTCTCGTTCATTCTACAGATAATATAACCATTGGAACTGATAGAACTCTTCGTCAGACTTTCAACGCATTTGAAATCACTCAAATCCGAGTTCAGACAAAGAAGTTACAGCGAAAACAGTCAAACGGACATTGAAAATGTCTCAAAGCTGAACTGAGGCACCTACGGTGTCTCGGCCAAGTCGAGACACCCAAGGGTGTCTCGGCCAAGCTGAGACACCCCAAGGGTGTCTCGGCCAAGCCAAGACACCCCTAGGGTGTCTCAGCGCGGATTTGGGCCCTTTAAGTGGTTTTAACCGCTCCGCAACCCCTCATGCCTATAAATACAAGCCTTAGGCCTCATTTTTTGAGAGCTGGAGTTTTGGAGAATTAGCGAAGCCCTGCCGGAGTGAAGAGTGATCGAGCACTTCAACGTAAGAGAGTTTCTTCGTCAGATCTACATCACCCGTACCCGATCCTTAGTATTATCCCGTCGTGGTAATACTAAGAAGAGCAAATATCTCGCTTTTATCGAGATAGGCGCTTCAAGTTTCTAGATCTCCTCGCGGATCGACGAAGCTCTGGATCAGATCTGATTGCCAGGTAGTCTACAGATATCGACGTCCCCGTCATAGGCTAAATACCCACGCAAGCAAGAGACGACGAACGGATCTTGTGTTTATTTTCAAGAAAGTTGTAATTTTTATTTCTTTGTTGTTTGAATTCATTTTGTAACGTTTGAAGTTTTAATGAAATCAACGATGAAGGCAACTTTCGACGAAAACATTCCAGAGCTTCGTTGATCCGCAAGGAGATCTAGAAACTTGAAGCGCCTATCTCGATAAAAGCGAGATAATTGCTCTTCTTAGAATTACCACAACGGGATAATTCTAAGGATCGGATGCGGGCGATGTAGATCTGACGAATCTCTCTCTCTTGCGTTGAAGAACTAGATCCGATCTCTCCTCCTCTCTTGAAATCTGTGTACTTTAAGTCTTCAATCCGGCAGGGCTTCGCCGCGGCCCCAGAATTCCAGCCCCCAAAAATGAGGGCATGGGGCTTGTATTTATAGGATTGAGGGGTTGCGGAGCGGTTAAAACCACCTAAATGGCCCAAATCATCTTTGGAGACACCCTAGGGTGTCTCCCAAAACCCGAGACACCCTAGGGTGTCTCCTAAAATCCGAGTCACCCTAGGGTGTCTCCCAAAATCCGAGACACCCTAGGGTGTCTCGGCTTTGGCCGAGACACTCCGTTGTGGTGCATTCATCCGCTTCCGCTATAAATTCTTCGTCCGAACTCGGATTTGAGTGATTCAAAGTGCGTTGGAAAGATGACGAAGAGTTCTATAAGCTCTAATGATTAGATCATCTGTGGAATAAATGAGACACGAAGGGAATTTCGTCTTTTGTAAGTAACACGGGGCTCCCGATCAGTTCGTATCTTTATTATTCTGAAACTCTGTTGCTTCACATAGTTTGCCGATTCACTTCAAGCGTTCGTCGACATCAATCAAGCTTCTGTGAACCAGATGGTGACGTTCATCATCTTCTCTTAACTTTGAGCTGTTCGTGGAGACCTATAGGCAATTTTCGATGCCTACAGTTTGTTTAGGAATGGAAGCAAATGGAGAAGGGTGATAACTATTATGAGTTTAGGTATAATTCGAGATTGGTCAAGCCCACTATTGTTCATTCCTAGGTAGACATTGTCCCGTATCATTTTATGGTAGATAGTCTTTCCAAAATTAATTAATTTCTCCATGGAGGTTGACTTATTTCTTCCACGAGGATGTGCTTGTTGTCTTAGTGCATCGCTTAAATGTAACGGGTGGAGATGGAAATCATTTAAATCCTAATATTGTTCTGTGTGATAGTTTTCTTCTACCTAGCATAATTTTAACCACTATGTATTCATCAGGATCTCTGAAGCACGCATGTAATAATAGTATATATGGTTGCAAAAGGTAATTGTGAGGCAAGATCAGGATTTGATTGCTTGCAATAGTAGGTTATGGAAGCTCTTTTTGTCTTCTCACAGATCCTGGTTAATAAGTAATACTATGCCCCTTATATGTTATTCTCTTATTTTCTTAGTTGTATTTGTTGTGTATTCTCCTCGCAAGATAAAATACACAATTGATTGCAAAGGCTCTTTTTTTTTAAATAACAATTGATGAAATTCAGGAACATAAGCTATATCCTTGACCTTTATGTTTGGCTGCATGAACCCCTCAGATATGTTAAGCATCATCCCTTTTATAGGATTTATCTTAATTACTTATATAATGTCTTGCACATAAGCCCACATTTTAACCACGCTAACTTGTGTCTTGAAACACTACATCTACAACATACACCCAAGCATGTAAACTCTTAACTTCCTGTAATTGCTTGATTGTTGGATATGCAAAATCTTAGTTATGTTTCCTATTTACTAACTGTTGGGATCTCTGACTGACCTGCTTAATAAGATACATGCTGTTTTACAGATATTTTTATTTCAACAAATGCTTGGAATCTTTGCCTTGATTTTACGTCTATAGACATGGTATTTAAACAAAGTAGCTACATTTCAGAAATCTATATTTGGCAAAAATATTATTTCAAGTGTGTCCTGGTTATTTCATGTAACTTTACACTTAACATCTCTAATATGGATGCAGGATAAAAATTTGGCACAACATCAGATATCAATGTTGATGTTTGTTGCATTTGCTTGTGGCTGTGGAATGTTTCTATTTACAAAGTTACTGGGTGTACGAGTACTAACTGGTTATTTCATATAACTTTGCACTTTCCTCCTAGTCTGTTAACTTTTCATACTGAATGTTAACTTTCGCTGATTTATGTTAACTTTCATCCAAACCTGTTAACTTTTCATACTGAATGTTAACTTTCATTGTTTTATGTTAACTTTCATCCAAACCTGTTAACTTTTCATACCGAATGTTAATTTTCACTGCTTTATGTTAACTTTTATATAAACCTGTTAACTTTTCATATTGAATGTTAACTTTCGTTGTTTTATGTTAACTTTCATCCAAACCTATTAACTTTCACTGTTTTATTTTCGTAGAAGCATTTAAAAAAAAGTTATGACTAAGTCTTTGATTTTATCCCAGATTATGAGAAGCGAAGTGTGTCAATAGATGAAATCGAGATATTGTCACTAATTACTACTAAAAGGAAGGAAAGAAATAGAACTAGATGTATAAACAACAGAATAATTTACAAACATCCACTGAAATGTTCTCCATGCAAAGTTGAAGGTCGCAGTCAAGCTAATATTCACCCTCCACATGGGTTCCTACACTCTCATCATCATCACCAGCGCCGAGCTGACCCATGAGGCCCTCATTACCAAGGGGAAAGTGAGTGTGTAGTGAGTGTGTACAAACTTCATGGGGATGATTGTCGATATATTGTTTATATGTCGAAAATCGTTGGTGTAGTATATTAAAAGCTTTTTTGCTCATTCATTGGTATGTTTCTGATTAGCATTGTGAAGCTGAATGATTGTTGGTTTCGAATATAACTAAGACTTGATACAATGAAACTGATGTTGACAACATTTAGTGTGGGTTTTTTTATACTAGGTATGATTTGTTGTTCGGCCCTGTAGCTTAAGCACTTTGTGTATGTGCTAGATTCAAAGGGGGATGTGTTTTATATACTTGTTATATTTTGCGCTTGTGAATGACAAAACTGGATTGGAGATGTTTAATGTGGATATCCTCTATGATTTTTTGGTGCTTTATCATTTTTCTTGTGTCTTACTTGCCATTCAGATATTAGGTCCATGGATTGTTCATGTCTCATTCCCCAGCTATGAAAATTGTTGTTGATCTGTGGTCTTATAATTGAACATACAGTTTGTGAACTACTTTAGAAACGCTGACATGTTAACTTTCGCTGCTGTATATGTTAATTTTTAGCCCAACATGTTAACGTCAATGTGAATATGTTAACTTTCACTTGAACACGTTAACTCTCATCTAAAAAAGTTAACTTTCTTCTATATATATATTAACTTTTATTCTAACATGTTGACTTTAACATGAACATGTTAACTTTCATTTGAAGACGATAACTCTCAGCTGAACATGTTAACTTTCAGATGTAAGAAAATGATAATATGATACTACAAAAATATTATTGTGTACTCAAGCAATATCAGCTGTAAGAATGTAAAAAGTTTTGTGTGATGTACTTGTTTAGCTGGGGTATATTATTTGTATTTCCTATAAAATGTCTTTGTGCTACAACTACTCTCAGTTGGATAACTTTCAGCTAAACTTGTTAACTTTCACTTGACTACGTTAACTTTGAGATGAACATGTTGACTTTCAAATTCTATAGACTTTAAAGTGAAGATGTTAAATTTTAGCTGAATATATTAAATTTAAGCTAAAAATATTTACTTTAACCTGAACATGTTAACTTTCACGTAAGCATGTTAACTCTCATCTGGATGTGTTAACTTTCAAGTGCATATGTTAACTTTCAGGTGTATATATTAATTTTCATGTGAACATGTTAACTGTCGCTATATATATTAACTTTCATCTGCATATGTTAACTTTCTTATGAACATGTTATATTTCAGCTCTGCACGCTAACTATCAGCTGAACATGTTAACTTTCAGCATAATATGGTAACTTTTACTGTTACATGTCAGCTTTCTTTATAACATGATAACATGCAACTGAATATGTTAACTTGTCAAGTGTACATGTCAAGTAATAGCTTTTCCTATTAACATTCAAGTGAACATGTACCTTTTCATTTGAACCTGTTAAATATATATTGTATCAAAACAAAACGTAAATATATGGTGGTAAAAATACCATAAAATACAATAAAAAGAATAAAGGTCAAGCTTGCTGCATTGTTTGTCATCCACATTAATTGTTTACACAACGAAATTAATATACACAATACAGACATGCGCATAAGTTTTGATTCAATCAATTAATTTTTAGAACAACTTTCTACAATCCTTTGAGCTAATGTCTCTGCTTGATGCTTATGTTCCCATCATTCTACAATTGTGTAGGAATAATAATCATCTAGCAACATCAACAACAATATTCACTTGCGCATTCCAACATATTGCCTACGCCCCTGCTACAAAAGATGAAAATGGTTGTCAAACATGTTAACTAAAGCGATACATTTTATGAGCTTATGTTCCTGAATTTCATATATTGTTATTTAAAAAAAAGAGCCTTTGCAATCAATGTATTTTATCTTGTGAGGAGAATACACAACAAATACAACTAAGCAAATGAGAGAATAACATATAAGGGGCATAGTATTAGTCATTAACCATGATCTGTGAGAAGACAAAAAGAGCTTCCATAACCTACTATTGCAAGTAATCAAATCCTGCTCTTGCCTCACAATTACCTTTCATAACCATATATACTATTATTACATGCGTGCTTCAGAGATCCTGGTGAATACATAATGGTTAAAATTATGCTGGGTAGAAGCAAACTATCACACAGAACAATATTAGAATTTAAATGATTTTCATCCCCACCCGTTACATTTAAGTGATGCACTAAGACAACAAGCACATCCTCGTGGAATAAGAAGTCAACCACCACGGAGAAATTAATTAATTTTGGAACTACAATCTACCACAAAATGATTCGGGATAATGTCTACCTGGGAATGAACGATAGTGGGCTTGGCTAATCTCGAATTATACTGAAACTCATAATAGTTACCACCCTTCTCCATTTGCTTCCATTCCTAAACAAACCAGTAAAAAGACCACAATAAGTAATTGAAAAATAAAGACCAAGTGAAAAATCGTGCACAATATTTCACAAAAAAGAGGCAAAATAAAAGACCTCATCTACTTGGTCGCCAGATGAATGAACATTGTCATAGATATTGTATTGCTCCAACCTTTCTCTCCAATAGTTTTCCCTCGTGATATGCAATCTATCCCATGGAATCCCTTGTATATCTTTCCCTCTTCTTGCTTGCTCAGAGGATGTATCAATTACTCTAGTGAGCTGCATGCACTCAATCCCAAATCAAATAAAGATCAAAATCAAAATTTCTTTCTTTTTTTTTGTTATGGATCAATTCACAATAAGGGTATTAAAAATTGATAAGAAAATTAAAAAAATTAATGCAGATAAAAGAGGAAGCACTGACCAATTCATACTCATTCTCAACTTGATCAGTGATGATGCCCACATCATCATCCTCATCCGGAGTCATGTACTCAAGATTTTGTCTCTACGCATCGCACTTGTAACAGAGATGACTACTGAAGAAAGTCATCGACGACGTCTCGAAGAGCTCGAGACGTTAGATGAAAAACGACTTGAAGCTCAACAGCATATTGAGCTCTATCAAGCCTGAATATCCAGGGCTTTCGAAAAAAAGTCAAGCACAGGATCTTCAAGGAGGGAGATTTATTTCTCTCCATTCGATGATTGATGATCCTCAACTCCAAGAAAAAGGAAAATTTCTAACCCAAATGGGAAGGGTCATTCATAGTAGAAACGATCTACTCAAATGGAGTATATCGCCTAATCAATCAAGATGGCGATAAGATCATGATGCCTATCAACGGTAAATTTTTAAAGAAGTACTACTCATAGGCTTCTTGTATGCCAGCCTCTTCCCTGCAAAGGTCCTCATGATTGACGAGGATTACTATGCTCGTGTTTGAACGGAAAGAGATCATTTCCAATCTAAGCAAGGCTACAGGTTCAGACACTATAAATGCAGTGATTATACCTAACATCAACAATATTGAGAAACGTGACCTTCTACATTGTTGAAGCCGTTAGAGTTCTCCCAACTCCTATGAAGTTAACCAAGGTAAAGATTTCACTCTTTACATCTGATGGTTAATTTCCTCCAAATTCTCCTACCAATCCTCTTCAACAGAATGGCGGATCCATAAAAAACTATCACATTAATGATTATCTCTCATAGTTAAATCTTCCTCTAAATTCTCCCACCAATCCTCTTCAACAGGATGGCGGGTCCACAAAAACTATCATGTTAATAATTATATTTTGATAGTCAACTCTTCAACTCCCATTGTGGGTATTGTCAGCCAATCACCCCCATTAAAGATACTCTGTCAAGCAGCGTTCTACCATGCAATGAGCTCTTGCTTGTCATTCGTTCAGGACAATGATATACCTTATGATGATTCACTGCTTGATCTTATCTAAATGTTCTATCTCTTTAGAGCGATCAAATATAGTGACCTACCATGCGATGTGCCTCTATTCTAATCACAGTCATTATACTCCCACATCACTGAACGACTTGGTTATTTCTACATTGTCATTCCTACAAATGACTTTTTTTAAGGTAGTGGACTATTAGCTGGTTTGCCCCTATCTACTCTCTTATTCTTGAATAATGACCTACTAAGCGATGAGTCACTACTCAAATCTAAGATCGCTATTTTGCTAACGATATCATCACACCCCTTCAGTCAATCCCACAAATGATCACTTTTTGAAAAAGTAGGCCTACCATGCGATGAGCCTCATTTTTATATTTCCAGGTTAAGTTGTTACACTTCCATGTTACTGAACAACACAACCAAACTTGATTACAACTTAACCGTTGTAATCATGCTTCACTCTTAATCTGACATCCTGAATGGCTAAGGATAGAGGAGAAATTTTGGCATTAAACCTAAAAGAAACTCCTCGATAACTAACCATGCTAAGAGAAAAAGTATGGCTAGCCCAATTTAACGGTAATTGGTAAAGGCAAAATCAAATTCGTTGATGGCTAAGGGTTTGCTAATAATCCTAATCAATAATCAATAGAGAAAATAAAATAGAAACTCACAAGATATCAGTAGAAGAAATTCAATGAAGACACTGAATTTATTTATAATGAATAGTCTCCATTACAAAAGTTATTATTGATACAAAAGTGAGTCAACTCAGAGGCCGCTCAGTCAAGCTTCTATCTCCTGGATGGCCTTAGCATGATCCTCCTCAATCTCGAGGATGATTTGTTTGCGAATATCTTCCTTGGTAAGTTGGACAGTGTTAGCTAGCTGGTCTTCCACTGCCTTTAGAGCTTTGTCTTTGTCCTCAAGTTCACCAAGAACTTGTTTCTGCTGACTCTTAAGCTCCTCCAACTCTACCAAGACTTGTGCACGTGTTCGTTCTTTATCCACCAAGTTTTCTTGTGCCTCCATTATAATATGCTTCGTATTAGATATTGATTCAGTTAAGTCCTCCAAGACGGAAGCAGCTTTCTTGCACTCTTCAATTATGTCCTTGCGTAATGTCGTAATCCGACGCACCTCATCCTTCAGCTGATTTTCTTTGGCCAGGGTCTCCTCCAAGAAGCGTTCCCACTCTTTTAAGGCTAACTGAACCCTTTTAGAGGCCAGATCAGAGATATTGATGCCACCTGAGGGGAAGGTGAGCAGTTCCTGGTTATCCTTTCCATGATCCACAAATGGGCTTAGTATGTGGAAGCAGCATTTTCACCGACCAGCTTGGTCAAATTGTCCACGTACATCTGCAGGACCGGTTTGCAATCATCGAAAGGGCAACCTTCATCCATCACCATTCTTACACTAGTATGGAGAAAGGACTGGAAGTT